GTCAATGTTTTTATTAGTGATTGTTTGTATTGTGTTTTAATTGTGTAATTTTTATGTAAATGTATACTTTTTGCTGCCTCTTGGCCAGGACTCCCTTGAAAAAGAGGTTTTTAATCTCAATGGGACTTTCCTGGTTAAATAAAGGAAATAAATTCATCATGTTTATGTTTCTCTTTTAAACACTTTCCCTGAAGATAGAAGCGTATGTTTAATCTGACGTGGCATGTTCGAACGAGCCGTTTATAAGGAAAAAAAGTAAGAGAAATTTAGGATAAGAATATGAAAATGATTTTGCACGAGGCCCAATGTGAGCAGTTTTATGACTTTCTTATTGAAATTCATCCTTACCAAAGGTATTTTCTGTTAAGGAATTTTTACTTTTACTTAGTTATTTACATATTTTAAGTGCTTTAGATAGCTCTGGTAAAAGCCTAATAACACAAACGTATAAGGTGTAAATTTAAAGTCAATTCTTGCTCCATCACCTGTGAGTGGGAAGTGATTTAATCAATGTATGTTTGTGCAAGAAAAGAACCAACCACAGGGATAAAATAAAAAAGAGAGAATGCCTGAATAACAGGTTAAAATTGTGGCTAAATTCTACTTAACTATAAGTTATTAGCAGAATAAAAATTAAAGAAAAGCCTGCAACATAAAAAAAACTCCCACAGAAGAAATCTCCTTGTTAACCATTCATCTCAGACAGCCGGCTACATAAAGCTCGCAGCTCTAACAGACACATGCTCCGGAGAGGCCCCGTCAGGACAGCCTTTTAACTGGCAGCGTGTTCCATGACCTCAACACCCATAAATCACATGACGGGCGTGCAGGCGCTGGGTGTTGAGAGCTGCTCAGGGCACGCTTTGAGCGAAGTCCCTATGTTGTATAATCAATAGATATAAAAATAAATGGCCTGACCGTTATTCTCTCCCTGCTACCTTTCTCTAATAAAATCCCAGTAATGCATATTTCATTTACTTTTATACTTATTGATTACCTGTACTCCAGTTAGTAAATCACGCGCCTATCGATCCCTCAATCGTACCTCTGTCGGACAGCACATAACCAGCCATTTGCGCCCCTGATAAAGAGCTCAGACATTGAACTCCCCACAGTAAATCTTTGCAAACTAACTTTTTAATTCCAAAATCGATCCACATTTAAACGTGGCGTTATTTCACAGGGCACGCCTGCGGCATTAAAAGTAATACTGTGATGCATTTGGTCTTAATGTATGGAGGTCCATCCCTCCGTCTCTTTTCTCACCGCATCAAGGCCGAGACGCGCAGTGGTCCCCCCCTCCCACCCTGCAGCCAGGAGGTTAAAAGGGCCCTTTTTGCTGCTGCAGAACACTGGGAGACAGTGGAGCCATCAGGAGCCCATTGAGGCACTCAACACAATGCAAATCAGACATAAGAATACTATCAGCTGGCTCATTAACCAAGGAAAAACACAACCATTCATCTCAGAGAAGAAACCAAAAGCTTTTTATCAGCGTACGACACGGTGCCATATAAAACTGTAAACAGTGGTAAAAAAAATAATAAAGCACAGAACTGTTGTTATTGTTTAACATCTGTTACTTCATCAGTTTTCCAAAGCCTGACAGATGTTTCTGTCTAAATTTGCAGAAAATGTGATGATAAAAACAAAGATTGACTTTGAGGTGTTGGGGGAAAAAAGAGTGAAGGTGGCCAAGAACAACTAAATACTATCAAAGACACAAGGACACTGAGGAAAGAGAGAGTCCAAGATGGATTTTTCAGGTCATATGAGGCACCTTTCAATGCAATGAAGTCCCTTTGGGTGCCGAGTAAAAACAGCACTGACACAGGGTCAATTGTAATTTTGGCTTGCGCATCCAAAAGCAAATATATCAATTAGAAACAATAAATCAAAAGAGGAGTGAGAGGCCATAGATACAAAATGACCATCTATTTTCATTAGGGTACACGGTGCTTCAGGTGGGAGCAGGATCTCAAGATTAATATAGGTATTCAAATGAATCAGAAAGGATTAGGGTCTCCTGGGAACATAATCAATAACTCCAAATCAATAATCAATAGGCCACTCACACCAATATACTAACTGCTGACACTGTGATCTCACAATTAAAATGAAAACTGGGGAAGGGAGTGGTGTAAGACTATGATTTATCTCACGTCGCGAGTGTTATTTAAAAACAAATAGGTCAATAGATAAAAGCTGCTGCTGCACGGCTCAGGTTTAGAGGCGGTGAGGCATTTTAAGGTGGTCAACGCCTCGCAGAGGAGCGACAAATCCCACAGAGAATGGTGCCTCAGAGACAGGAATGAGTAGCATGGGACAAAAAGAAAACAAGAAAACAGATGACACCTTGTCACAATTCTGCACTGTTTCGACAATACAAGAAAACGTAATTAGTTAGAAATGAATCACGAAGGCAAAACATAAAAGAAAAAGCATCTGATGTAATCAAAATTAAGTTTAACTAATGGCCTAACTTAGGAATGCATATCGCTCGCCACCTTTAATGCCAAAGGACAAAGATGTGGGTAGGCAATCCTGGCCTTGCATGCTTTACTGGTTTCCCTCCTCCAACACACCTGATTCAGTGATTGTTTGTCTTCAACGTCTTCAATTTCTGCTGAAATCTGATAATCATCCATTCATTCACATTAGGTGTGTTGGAGCACAGAAACAAGTAAAACATGCAGGATAGTAGCCCTCGAGAACCAGGATTGCCGACCCCTGGACTAAAATCATCTTCTGTTGAGATATGATGAAGTTTTAGCCTTTTTATACAATCTCATGTAATATTAATAATGTAAAATTAATGTGGGTATGTAATATGTGCTGTGAATGACTCTCAGCTAATACTACCACAAATTTTAGCTCAGTATTTGTAAAATTCACCGACTTATCACCCCTTTTGTTTAGGCTAAGTTCAGTTAGCTGTGGTGGCCATCTTGAAATGGTCTGACTCTATAAGTTATTCAGTTGTCGGTCTACACCCAATAATTACACTGGTAAAGTAGGATTAACATCTATTTGGTAAACCATGAGATAGTTTGCTAAGTGTGCAGAAAAACAAACACAGACATGAGTAAAAGCATTATTGTTCTTACTGACAGGTGATAATCAGCAGGTATGAGCTTTCATATTTTAATATAAACCATTTTTTGTTTGATCGTGACTAGTGTTGTCAGGCCTGATACGAGCATTTTTAAAAGTACTCGTACTCGTTCGAAATGCCTCTATATCTGGAGCCATAAAACTTTTTTTTTAATTTGCGTGGATGTTCACATTTAAATGCGACATTAGACTCTAGTGTAAATGCTTCCTGCTGTCAATGCAAGCCCCATGCAGCTCGCTGTTTACAGAAGTAAACAGGTCTCTATCTGTGGATGCTACTTGTTAGCATGTCGATTCTAAAGTCGTTGTGCGATCAGAGCGGGTTAAATATTTAGCTTGTATGTTTGTTTAGTTCACTGTTTACATTTGAACCTGCCTCTGGTCGGCTCTGAAGCGTGTACTGTATTTATGGAACAAAGGGACGTGCTGAACGTAGAACTAACCAAGGTATCGATCAGTAACTTTAGTATCAACTTGGTCCGAAACCATAGTTGCCATCATATATTTCTGTGGAGTCATGGAAAATTTCAAGTAAAACGACAACGCAAATAGACTACTGTTCTGTAGCTGACTTGTGAAGTTACAAGATTTAAACAACATGACTCGAGGTTACTATCATTATTATTACTTGGATCGATCTGCTTACCCACTCCTCACTGATGTAAAAGTCGGATAAAATGTGACATGATCGTTCAAATTGCAGTCACTTTGAAAAAACATCAGATATGTATCTGATTTAGCACCAGGTCCTTAAAAATAAAAAGTGTTTTACAGTCATTGTGTAATGTTTAAATTCTAACTAAGCAAGAAGTCTGATGCATCTCAGTAATCCAACTAAGTGCAGTAAGACAGTAAGACAACTAAGTAAGAACTCGATATCAGTACTCGGTTTGAGAAAACCTGGTATTGGGACACCCCTAACTGTGATTGTTTATATGAACTCAGGTGACCCAAGCAAGTTCCATGAGTGCAAAACCAGGTCATAAACACCAGGCAGACATTTTACTGGAGCAGCTCCTGAGGATAGATTCAGCCATGACGTCCAACTGAAAACATCAGAAGCCCCTCTCACCGCCCTCCCCCCCTTCCTTCACTCATTCATTTGGGAGTATGATTTATACTTTTTGAAGTGAAGGGTCTTGAATCCCACTTTAAAGGAATTAAGAGATCTCCCCTGTGTCTGTCATTCAAATGAGAGCATGGCAGGGATATGAGGGCTTTTTAATAGAAGAAATTAGTATTCACAATGCCTTAAACTGGAATCTGAAGGAACCTTTCAGGTGGAGAAGAAAGGGCCAGTTTAGAAAAGAAAGCCCTAAGAAGTCGGGGGGCTTTTCATAGCAGTCGTGTTTTTGCCCCTCATCAAGAAGAGCCGGAGCGCTTCTGTGAAACAACCCAAGAGAGAGGGAGGGAGAGGTGCCTCGCGTGTGTGTGAGAAACAAAAAAAAAGGAAGAAGAAGAAGAAGAATGCATCATAAATAGGCAGCGAGGAAACAACACAACGAGGAAGCCCACAGTCTGGGAGCCTAGAGGGCCGCTCAGCTTCTCCACAGCTCCCCCCACGCAGATCCAACTGTTCCAGGGATGACTGGAAGCAATGTGACGCTTTGACAAACCACTCATTTGGATTTCTCTAATGTCTCTGTGCAGTTCCAGAAATGTTAGAATTTAAATTAGCATTAAACCAACACGGTATTTTTTGTATTTTGTAGGACGCTGACCTTGAAAAGTAATAAGCTGAGCTGAATTTGAGTGTTACTTCTGTGGCTTACTTTTGTTAGCTCAACTTGACTTTAAAGTCAGACTCACATAAATGAAATGTTTATTTAATTAGAGTATTAGCACTGTTAACACATCTAAATGGTCATATATACATATATCACGCAAAACCTCACATTATTTGCCCATATCTGACAGTTCTGCTTTAATAGTGTGACTGCTGATTCAGCAATAAATCAATGTGCTGCTATGTGAGCTATAAAACAAGTTGTTTTTGACATAGAAAGTCTTATTTTTATGAGAAAGGAGAACATTTTATTGTTCCCAGTAAATATACCTCTTATCCTGACTGATAAGATGAGAACAAACAACTACCTGTTTCTGAAGAGCGAGGTGGAACACCTGAGATGGGAACTTTCTGACATCGTGTCAATGGGACAAACTGGACACAGAGGGTTTAACTGAAAATTTAGAGCATCAATAAGATTCATATTTTAACATTTTTATCATTAAAACAAGGTCTGAGAGTAATAAATAAACCATAATTCACATAATAGTTATAATAGTTCACCTGGTTTCTGTCTTGTTTTCCAACAGGAGGCAGCCAGTAGCTACAAGGAGACAATCAAAGGATGAGAACTGATTGAACTTCCGCCTCATTTTGTTTTTAAATATGAGCATATCTTACTTTCTCTGGCACTGATCCTGGGAGAAGTGCCTCAGTCTTTCTACAAACACTGACATGTTGGGGTTCTGTCCAGCACAGACACAGAAAACAACACACAAACTGAACTAAAGGTTTTAAATATATTTAACAGTGAAGAAAAGAATTAAAGCGTTTGTGGACCTTCCTGGGAAGTCGTCTCCTGTCCCTCCTGAAGCAGCCAGCAGCTGAGCAAAGCAGTCGATCGGGACGAGAGTGACAGCCTGCAACAGGTGCAAAATCATAAACTTCATCTTCTTGTACTGACAAATTAAAATACTAAAATACTACGCAGAGTTTTAAAGTAACAAAGTACAAATACTTTGTTACTGTACTTAAGTAGAATTTTTGGGTATCTGTACTTTACTTGAGTAATTATTTTTCAGCCTACTTTTTACTTCTACTTCTTACACTTTCACACAATTATCTGTACTTTTTACTTCTTCCATTTAAAAAAGGTGAGAAGTACAAAGTTATTACTTTTATTTCATTTTAGTTTGTTTTCATTCCAGCTTGTTATTGTAAAAAAAATAAATACTATCCATATAAATTGTGCCTCCGAGATAGAGTGAATTTAATTGTGGTTGAATGAGAAGTATAAATATATAAAACTCTGATACTGTATTAGTTTGTACACAAACAAATCATGTCACACTCCAGCAGGACATAATCATTAAAATAAAAGGACTGTACTTAAGAAGTATTTGTATTTCATGAATTATATTATTGGACTTGGCCGCAGCCCTCAGATAGATTTACATTTTGGGGGAAATGTTTGTGCAGCCTTGATATATGTATATAAACTGAAACAGAGAGACTAGTGCATCATAAATTTAACATAAATTAATTATCTTAATACGATATAGTCATTTCTGAATTTTTTGGGGGGGAGGTCACCTCCTAATAAATGTTACAGAAAATCTAACTGCTCATTTTAAATCAACACTTTTACTTTTAATACTTAAGTACAAAAAATATCAGATACTTTAAGACTTTTACTCAAGTACTATTCCTAAAGGAGACTTTAACTTTTACCAAAGTAATTTTTTGGTACGATACTTGTACTTTTACTCAAGTATCACTTTGTGGTACTTCATACAACACTGATACTACGTTTTACTAAAGCAAAAATCTTTCAACTGACTTGCAAGAAAAACCAAAACAGAGGAATCTATTCAAGATTTCGAAAGTCATAACATTTTTATCAAACTTTATGCAGTATTTTAGTTTTTCAAACTAGTAGCTCAAACAAACCATCAACTCTCCTAAAATCTCCAGTTTCCATTAAATGATGGGAGGATGTTCACACCTCTGACAGAACAGCGTGCAGGTTGCAGGAAGTTGGGCCGAGTTTGTCTCTTCTGGAGGGAAAGCGAGTTGTCGGTGTCCCAGTTGGGCAGGAGACCCGTCACCGCCGTCCCGACCCCACAGTCCCCTTCAAAGAACCAGTCACTCTGCTCATCGTCACCTGCACACATGGAAGAGTGAATGCAGCCGCTGTCGAATGTCCAAAACTCAGTGTGTGAGTTAGAGGCTGCAAAGCACTTGTAAGAAGCTGTTTAACTAACATCGTTCTCAGCTTTTTCTTAGCTGTTTCGGGACTTCTTCAAAAAATGTCTGAAAACTGAAGCCGTGCAGCACCAGATAACACCAGTCTCATCGCCCAGAGGCAGTGCGCTCCTCTCAGACCTGTCACTCAGCAAAGGTGCACACAGGAACCATGCCTCTCACAGTCAAGGTGTAGTGACAACTGTTAAATCAGAGGCCGCCTGGCCCCACCACGGCTAATGAGATTAGCAAAGGCTTCGGCGCTCATTAACACGACATGACAACGTCTTATTAGCGTCGCCTGGGTGCTCAGCAACCAGCCCATTGTAGCAAAAACCCTCCTTTGTAGGTTCAGCATTCCATCAAACTGATGCCTGACAACTCTTCATGTTTCTGGACAGCTTCAAATACTCAATAACGAATAACCTTTTTATCGTCTAGTATTTGTTTGATACCTTGTCTTCCCTCATCATTGGTGAACAGACCAGGGTCACTGCTGCAGGTGCTGCTGGTTTCCCTGGAAAGAAAAGAAAAACATTTTCTAATGACTGTTTATTATCAAAGACATATCGGGTTTGAATTTTTCATCTCAAACTTGATGCTGCTGCATCTGAGAGGCGAACAATGCAAATCAGAAACATTTTTACGCCCCTGTTTAAAAGGAGACACTCAAAACTAAAAATTAATGACTCGGAGCTGGAGGTCGACATAAACGGAAACAACACAAAAAGACAGAGCGTTGTGTGTCCCYCCCTGTCTCGATGGCAAACACAAAGGCATCAGGAGGGACTCTGATCGAAGCCACTGAGTGACATGAACAATCTAATTGAATATCCTCCGCTGTCAGCTCCAATCTAATCTGGCCTGCGTCGTGGAGGATGACAGCAGAGAGGAGCGCGGTCCCCTGTCTGCTCCTCCCTCTGGGCGTGCCCCTCGCGCAGACGTGCCGCCGCTTCCACACAACAACTGGCTGACATCTGCTGTGTGGGCAGCCGCCGCTCACCGTCCCGACCGGTCCCACCCGCACCCTCAGGCAAACCCCGGTGACACGCCCTGCTCGCCCTCTGCAGACCCTCACTGAGGGGTTTCACTGCAATCCTCACACCTCAGCTACCTCGAGAACAGTGGTTCTGGATCCTGGTCCTCAAGGACCCCTATCCTGCATGTTTCAGTGTTCCATTGCTTTGGCATGCCCGATTTAAACGAACGAGTGATTGGCAGGCTTCTGCAGGACTTAGACTTAATGAAGGGCAGGGAAACAACTAAAATGGAGGACCAGGGTTGAGAACCACTGCTCTAGAAAGTTCAAGTGAAAAATAAATAAATAGCGAGTTGAAAAGATACGTGTGAAGTACACTGCACTGCAATATTGTAGAGATTCTAATACAACAGTTGTGTCTTTCAAAAAACACTATTTCATAGGACTGTGAGAAAAAGGAAGCTCAATTCTCTCGTCTGCCTCGCAGTTAGCTTCCTGTTTATCATCCCTGACCTTGCTCACAGGAGAAAGCTGGAGGGTCAGATTCGCGCTGATACGGAGCTTTGCCATATTGCCGAGGCCTCAGAACGACGCCAGGATCAAGAGAACCTCCATCCAGACCGCCTGTCTAACCTACAGCCAGATGGTCCCGAATCAGCCCCCCGAACATCCACGAGAAGCAGATGTGAGAGAGGAGCAGGCCTCTCCGGGGAACCTCCAAGATGTCTGGCCGCGGACGGACCGTCCCTCCACCCCCATCCCACCTCTTCAACTCCGTCCCTCCTGACTGAATTCCCTGAGCCGCACCTCGGCTGAAACACCTCTGGACACAACAGCTGACATCTGGAGCACGCGGCACCTCAGCAGACAACTTCTGCACCTGCGATCTCCACCTCTAATGGAGGTAAGAACCAGTGAGCTACAAGCCTTCCTCCCAAACGCATTTTCAGTTTTATTACAGAGATTTAAAGCAAAGTCTGAAAGAGAATCACACATGTTAACAATTAATTAGAAGCATTCATTAAGTATTTATCTGTATTAAAGGTGTAATGTGATGTTGCTTGGAGCAGGATAGAGCCAATGTGAGAGTGTTTCCATTAAATACTCCCTAATTAATGCTGTGAATAACTGACATGCCCATTTTTCATGAGATGAAACACTTCTTTTCTTCAGCTGTGACCTTTGCCAAGGAAAGTTGATTCATTTTGAACAACTTTACGCAGCAAGCACACAGTAAGAACAAAAACGCACAAATAATCTAGTCAAAAAAGGGATTTTCTACCAGGGATTAGACACTGTAATTAGAATAAATAGTACACTGTATGTCCAAGTGAGGCAAAGGCAAGGGCAAAACTCCAGTGTTTAGGGGCGAACTGAGCTCCCCTCATGGCCTTATTGTCTCTACACAAGCCAAGGAGGTGAAGCAAAACACAGTATCCAGATGAGCACTAATCATTAGGAAATAATCCTCAGCTCCTGGGAGAGGCAGAGCAGTTTGCACAGAGATTACAGGCAAGCCGCCATTTATTGAGCCTGGGCTCATTCTGCAGAGGAATAAAGCAGAGGAGAGTCGGAGGGATGGGGGCAAAGTGCTGATAACAGTGGATCTGTGGGCTCTTCAAACAAGCCGCCCCAATCTATGCCCTCTTTTATTGGTGACTGATTATAAGGTTATCCCACCCTCCCTGAGCTGCGGTAATTGGATTAGTCTCAGAGATTTATGAAAATCACCAACTCGAAAAAAAAAAAAACTCCTCGTAGAGTTCTTGAAATCCAAATTACAGCACGGCGGCGCTGAAAGTGGCTTTTGTTTTCGTCCGAGAGCATCGACAGAAGCGGCGCACAGCTGGAGACGGAGGCTGAGCCCCGGAAAAAGCGACCACCCCACAGGTTAGGCCTGCTTGCCGGGGCCAGCCTGGGCGCCAGGTGGCCTCGCTGCCAGCAGGCAGGGCCGGGTCTAATCAAGGATGTGGAGTCCAACTGGAGGTTCCAACATCTGCTCTCCTTTGCACTCGGGTGGCTGAAGGCGAAGCGCAGAAGGGGAGTGACCTTGAGGAGGGGCACATTTTCACAGACCAAACACTCCGATTTGAAAGAATCAAAATCCAAATGTCAAAAAGACATTCCAACACTGACATCTGTGTCTGACATCAAATAAAGCACACGATCTCAAAGTCTAAATATTGCTGTTGTAACGCTGTCAACTCCTCATCACTGCTGCCATTTGTTAATACACTTCGCCTCCACCAAGACTCAACTGTTAGCTTGTTCAGCCTTCAGTGCAGAGTGGCAGTCTACTGAGCAGCAATCAGGAGCATTGCCGTTGTGTAAGTGAGAAATGATTGACAGCGTTCCGAGGTGCTCCCATTTATTTCTTCTCCAGAGCTGTTTTCTGTCAGAACGGCTATTGATTTTTCCATAAAGTAAGAAAACAAATACCGTTTAGGGGCTGGAGAGGTCAGTGCAAATTAAACCAGAAGATGTAAAGCTTTCTTCTGTTCCATTACGGCTCACTTTTAATACATCTTCTCACATCCTTTATGTGATCAAATTATAATGAGGTATGCAAACAAAACAAGAAAGAAAAAAGAAGACGTGTGAAACATGTTTAGTTTTTAATGTTACTCAGTGATATGTCCAGTTATTTTGTGTCGTATTTTAAATGGTTTTTAAAAATATAAAAAAATTAGGAGTAAAACTAATAAAATTAGCTATAAATAAAAGTAGTTTTGTGTCATCTCTATTAACGTTTTCTTTTTACCATAGACACAGGATGAAATAAAACAACTACAAAAACATTTCACAGATGATGATATTTCTTTTATGTTGCCAGGTGTGAGCTACTAGCACCCTAAACTTTAGCTCATTATTTGTAAAACTTACGGGCAATCATTTTTGTGTTGGCTAAGGCTGATTAACTATGACGGCCATCTTGAATTCAGTTGACTCCAAAAGTTGTATACTGAAAAAAATAGCCATCTAAAAATAAGTTCAGAAATACTAGATAACAGTCTGAATCATCTAAATTAATTGAAATATTTTGCCAGTGCAGTATAATTGCGCTTGGTAAAACTTCTTACAATAAGTGGCAAAAATAGGCTAATACAGTTAATAATCTGACAAATTCTGCTCCTGTTTAGTGTATCAGCCTAAAATAAAAGGTCAAAAATATTTTTGGCTGAATGTAAGATTTTAAGACTTGGTTATACAAGCAATTTTTGCAGTGTAGATATACATCAAATGATTGTTTTTTTAATTCATCCAGTGGCTCATTAGATATTTTGCTGAAAGACTGACAGAATGAATGACTTAATTCAAGTTTCCACATAATTAAAAAGCTTAATTAAAAAGATTTATGTAAAGCCACACTGTTTTTTTTTGTTTGTTTTTGTTATTGACATCAAATTCTGCTTTGCACATATTTTATAAATATACTTAAGTTTATTAGATAAAACACTGAAAAATGACTTTTTTTAACTTGCCTTTCAAATAAAAGTTCAAACCCTTCAACTTTTCTGGATTCTCATAGTAACTTTTTGGTTAAAATGTCAAAACTGCCATTGCAGCAGTTTATCCTAATGAAGTTTCAAGTGCTTCAGTTCTGCATTACCTTACTGAGTGATTATTGTATTGATTGTTTCACTGTAATAATATATTGTCCCACTCTGTAGTAAGTTAAATCCACATTTAGGTTTGCCAAATGAAATTCACACAGGAGGGTGCAGCCTGGGACTGTGGGACAGGCAGAGCTTTAATTACCCAGCCAAAGACAGGCATATATTTCAAAACAAATCAATACCTCACCAAGTCACTTATTTATTTGTGACAATAGTTCTCAAAAGGAAATAATGAGCTCTCAGATGCCTGGAGGCAGAGCTATCAAGGATCCCCTCCCTGATGATCTTTTCAGTTATAAAGAGATGAGAATCAAGAGGCTATCATTCATTTTTAATGCCAAATCAACACTTTAAAATGGAGAGGCATGACTTTTTTGGTTTAAAGGATATGCTGAATATTGACAAGTAGCTTGAAGATAGACAGAAAGTTAAAAGTTTACTGCTTTAGAGGGTAAGGAAGGCTTTTGGRTTTTTGAGCTTCTTTCTCAGAGCAACTTTATTCTGGCTGACAGAATCAGTGTTTGACTGCTCCACCGACGCTATACTATATAAATATATACTATAAAATAATTAAGTTCTCTGAAAAGTAAAAATGCTTCATTTTTCCATAATAAATGTATGTAAATACACTGATTGGCAGCACAAACTTGGACTAAGTTTGCATCATAAAAATGTTGGATGAATGTTTTGTCGAAGAAATAAATTGTATTACCCATCAGACATATTTTCATCTTGCGCATCTCTGTGTTCTTTTGCAATCTTTCTCTTCCAGCGCTCCTTTCCCATCAGCCTGCCTCCGTCAGTCTGTCGCTCTGCTCCGATCCAGCCACTCAGCCTCCTCTCCGGTCCTGACAGACACTGCACTGGAGACAGGCGAGGCCTTTTCTTATCATCATCCCTTGCATGTAACTTCTGCTGAAATCTGACCCTCACATCCGAGGTCATTCGTTTGACCTTCCTGCGCCTCCTGAGAGGTCGTCCTGGATTATTRTCAGTGAAGGAATCCGACTCTGGCCAGGAGGGCCGCCTTGCCCTGACTGGGCTTCTGACGACACACGGCCAGCGGTGGTCGGTTGTRTCATCGGAGTCGCTGTTGTTGGCCAAAGAGGTTTTGAAAGCAGAGGGCAGGTTCTTCCTGTACTCTTTAGCCTCATCCATGCTGGACTCCGAGGCCTCCATCCAGCATCGTCTGCGAGCCACGGGATAGACCGAGGACTCGTGGAAGCGTTTGCGGCCTCTGCGCCGTCGGATCTGCCGTCGTTGCTGCAGGGGACTTGGGATCATTTCCCCCCACAGCTCCTCGAGCTTACTCTGCTCCGAGGCCTGCTCCAGTGCAGAGACCAGGTCCTGCACCAGCTCGTCCATCATGATGCTGGAAACCAAAAGAAAAAAAAAAAGGTTATACTCCAGAAGTCACGTAAATCAAGTGGTGTTAAACACAACGCAGATTGTCACTGTTGAAAAGCCTTTGGATGTGTCTCTTTTCAACACTGTGGGTTTACAGTTTTAAAAAGATAAATACACTRTTTCCAATCTATTTCCTTGATWAGTTAAAACAGCAGCTTATTTCTCTTTGGTTTACTCTTTYAGAAACTTTTAATGTGAAAATAAAAATAATAAATTCTATTTATACCATCAATCCAGTCACCATTTTAATTTGTTTGATTTCACACACAAGAACATTGTGCAGCATTATGATCACTGATCTGGCTAACAGGCTTGATTCTTCATACTAATATTTATTTACTTAATCAGGAAAAAAAGGGAATTTTTAGTAATGGTCCGATGACACTACAGAAAAAAATAAATCATTGTGTAATCATTAGGGGTGTAAAAAAAATAATGATGTACTGAAATATTACAAAATTTAATTTCCTGATACTGTATGGATTCTTAAAAGCACCGTAACAATTTTTAAATTAAGGCTAAATGGAATGATGTACAAAGAAATGTGAAATAAAAATGTAGTTCTCGTTGTTCATCTCTTTTCTGACTGCATAAAAATAAACTGAATTTAATCAAATTGTATTTATGTATACAGTAGTGTGGTGTGCTTTTTTGGAGAAAAAATTGGCAATATATCACCTTGCTTACAGTATTGCGATATATCGTGACATATATCGTGATGTTTATCATATCACCAATTTTGTTGCAATACACAGCCCTAGTAATTAAATACAGTGGTTCCCATGTTTGTTAATAGATCTTTAAGCATCACGTGTTCTGACCTCAGACAGAACCTGTTCTGGAATCCACAACTTTAAAAATGCGCAAATACATAAAATCGTAGAAGGTCATGTTCATATTTGTGTTAGATGAAACAGGAAGGGTTGGTATAATACTAATACAAGTCGACTAAACAGAACCAGATGTGGTTCTCAGTCAGGGGCGGTTGTAGGGACGGGGCCACAGGGGCATTGGCCCCACCTGAAATCTGATTGGCCCCTTGAAGTGCCCCTGTCCTGTCACTCAYCTGTCCTTTACCTGGGAGTGATGATGGTGGATGCAGTTCCATGTTCAAACACTAGTTGCGCTAATGAGTCAAATAGTAAAGTACAGAATGAATCAACAGAATTCTTCTTCTCTTCTTAAGAAAATTTGAACAATCCTGCAAAAAAGTCTTTGGATGGATTTTCTCACATGTTGTGTTTGAGTATATTTTATCTATGTACAGTAAWATGTTGAAAAACTGGTAAGGAGAATTTACTGTGCAGGATTTTTTGTACCACTTTACAATAATGGTACGTTCACACCGAACGCGTTTTGAGCGGCAGGAGCGGCCGATTCACATGCAAAGTCTATGAGGATGCGCCTCTAGGGATCGTGTGTCGCGCCACGTACGTTTTGGGCGGTGTGCAAGGAAAGCGGAAGGGGCGCAGAGCATTTTCCGCGCATGCGGTGCTGCGGAAGCCGCCGCCGCCGCCCGAGCCGCCGCCAGAGTTCAAATATCTGAACTTTTCGCTGCTCGACGCGTCTCCCACTGAAAACCGAAACAGACGGACTGGAGATCTTTACCTGAAATCGACCGTGTGCAGTTAGATTTTCTGGCAGGATACGGTATCAGCCCTGATGTGGGTCAGCTGCTTGGGACCAAAAAAAAAAAGAGAAAAAAGTCAGTCAGCTGGCAGCTTCTGGAGTGATGAAACTAACCAAACAAACCGACTCTAAATCATCTGGTGAGTTAATTATCTGCTATGCGCCACGTTCACTTGCTTTTTAGTAAAAAACCAAAGCCATTTTCTTTTATTTTATCTTTATTTCACCGGCAGAGGACACGTTCCTCCCACACCTCGCTGCTGCCTCTGCTTGTTCTGGTCTGAACACTAGTGCCTTCTTCGGTCTGAAAATAGTGCGTCCAACGAGAGACATTTTGCGCTTTTTGGCCGCTCAAAACGCGTTCGGTGTGAACGTAGCATAAGGCTCCCCTTATAGATGACTTATAAAGAGTTTACAGATACGTTACTAATTCATCTGTAAACACTTTATAAATCATTAATAAATGTTTATTATTCAATAATTAGAGAGGAGAAAGACAAAACTACCCAGTTTCTTACCAAATAATGATACAAATGTGTTCACATATATTACATTTAAAGGTACTATATTATATTTAGCCTCTTTTAAACCTTAATTAATGCATAATAAACACTTATTAATAATTTATAAAGTGTTTACAGATTAATTAATAACCTATCTATAAACTCTTTAAAAGCCATCTACTGTATAAGGGGAGCCTTATTGTAAAGTGGTACCCTTTTTAAAAAAATTATATTACATTACAAGCATTTGAACATGTATGACTGGTTAAATGTAAATACCTTACCAAAACTGGGGGGGTTGTGTGAAAGGATGCTGAACAAATACTTGGCCTCACTATGAAYATTGTGGCCCCTTGATGGCCCCTTACTCAGAAAAATCCTAGATCCRCCACTGTTCTCAGTGTTTTTCAGAAACTACAGGTTCCATGCTTTTGGTTCTCAGTCATCTTAACTCACTGAGAAAAGTGTGGACCGAAAATAAAAATATATATGATACAGTGCAATGGACAAACTTTACTCCACTTATGTAACATATCTGAGCATGTAGCGTTTAAAAAAATAACATCAGCAGGCTGATTCTCCATTAAGTGCAGCAGTATTGATTTAATGAAGCTCATACACGAAGAGTTGTCTCCATTGATGTCAGTTAGAGAGAAAAAAAAAAACAGCTTCTAAACGCGCGTGAGCTTCGCAGCAGCTGTAAAGACGGTTACACCGTCCTCATAAAGAGTGAAGAAAGCGGCAGCAGCTTTGCAGCAGCACTGCAGCAGAACAAAACCAGAGGCGGGATGTTGTATCTGCATGATGTTGCATAACAGCTCACATGTGCTGTGAGCACAACACACACAGCTCTGTCACTACCAGCGAAACAAGCCGTTCACGCGCGTTAAACGGCGCTCACACAGACACACCGTGCACGTGAACTATTTATTGTAAGGTTTTATCATAARAGGCAGAGCCCACGGTGTCTGAGCACTCACCAGTCGCTGCTTGTCTTGTTTTGTTTTCAGCACGCAGCAGCTGAAACAACAGACGCACCTTCCGCCCTGCAGACCAGCCAATCAGGGGGCGTCGCTTTGCTGTGACGTCATTCCAAAACAGCCTGCTGGACCAGCTGATAGGGAGACAAAATTCAACCTGCCAAGCAGCAGATAACACTCTGAACACAGTGAAACGTAAAAACCGTAAGTCTGCTAATAGAGATCATTTCATGTAGCTTGGAGACAGCAATGAAATTTTTTATTTACTCCTGTAATTTATTTATTTTTTCTGAATTCCTAGAATTCTTCATCCTAACAAGGAATGTTATTGTTATGAAGCAGGGTACTGCAACAATGTTCTGGTAGACTTTTGTGGTGACACAGTAAATAAATTCATGTTCTATTCTGTTGTTGTTAACACTTTTTGGCACTGTTGTTACAATGTAAAAAAAAGAYATGAGAAGGGGACGTACAGCTCTTTGAAATAAATGGAGCCCTTCAATTTTATTTATTTAGTCCCATAGGCAGAAACTATAGTTCACATGTGGTGATGTACAATGTATGTAGTGACAGAGAACGTCTCCCACCCAATGCATGGAACTGTGGCTGAAATGCAGAGCTCCTTCGRTGCTGCTGCATCCTAAATTCACAAAGGAACGTTGCCGCAGATCTTTCCTCCCATCAGCCGTTAGACTCCACAAACATCACTGCTCCCAACAATCTCAATAAGCATCCATGTTTGTGGTCTGCATGCCAAACAACTCTCAATCATTACAAAATAATAACCAGTGACAATTTTACATAGATTTTCCTGAACTGGAACACTGACTTAATGACTGAGTTCGACTCAATTTGCACATCCCCTCGAATCATGAGTCTGTCATGACTGTTTTTTTATTTCTGTAATTTTGTATTTTTCTTCATGGTACCTTGCGATTTTCATTACCTCCGCCAAGGGCGAGGAAATGTTTTCGGTCGCGTATGTTTGTCTGTCCGTCTCTCTGTCCCTCTGTCTGTTGTTCTGTCGTTCTATCGTTCTGTCTGTGGACATTATTCAAAAATTTGTGGACGGATTGTCATGAAATTTTTACCACATGTGGATACTGGGCCAAGGAACACACCATTAAATTTTGGTGATGTTCCGGATCACGATGTGGATACAGGAATTTCTTTTCTTTGAACACTCTGACATTGGCAAAGCTGTGATGCTTTCACAGAGCGTGGTTTTCAAAGTGTCCAGCAGGTGGCACTGTAGTATTTGTGTGCCCCTTTGTAACTCTATTACAGGATGGGGGAAATTGGTCTTGGCGGAGGTTTGCACTCTCCGAGTGCTTCTAGTTTTGATCTCATTTCATCTTGATAGTCCGGTACAGTCTTATTTTTATTTTGAACTATGTTTTTTTATTGTTACTATCTTTAATTCTATTATTATTGCTACGTATGATAATGTCACATAGAGATACTGCGTCTGTGGATTGATGTATGTTTGCTGCTGCTACTACACCTGAATTTCCCCACGTGGGACAATAAAGACTGTTTATATTCTATACTATTCGAGTGATGTAGTGACATCGCGTTGTGACATCACAGGGGCCTATTTCATTATCAGAAACAGGCCCCRGTGATGTAGGCTGTATTTGGTGACATACAATGTACAGTGGTTTGCAAAAGTATTCATACCCCTTGAACTTTTCCATATTTTGTCACATTACAACCACAAACATAAATATATTTCACTGGA